TTGTTTGTCCAATATATACGGAACACGACCGAGATGGAAAGCCCTTGCAAGCAAGGGAATAGAAAGATTCTTGGTTGCAGGATTGAAGAAGGAGAAGCGTATTCTAAATTCGAAGGCCCTGTCGACCTGTTACTCTGAACATACAACTAATAATATCATGTACGGTGTAGGTACATAGTACATACTTAGTAGAAGGGAATACGTTACCACGACCGAAGTCCGAGACTCAAGAGACTCCTCCCCAAAGCTGCGCGCACCACGCTAGGCAGAGCATTAACCACCGAGTGACGAGTCACCGCCATCCTCATCCTCGATAGCAACAAGACCAGGTCGCAATCAAGAGCTAGCTGTGACATTCAAAACACAACCTAATCCAGAACAGAGGGACTATCTGAACAAGGAAGAGATAATGAACGGCGCGGCACCTGGCAGTGGGCAACGAGGAAGATAGAGGCATCGAGGGTCAAAGACTAGGAAGTCTTTTCGCATTCAGGAAGGCATAACCAGGGGGTAAACACGAAGAACGACCACCATCGATAGAGGGATGGTAGCAGAGTGGAAGGGAAGTCTATTAGGATGGAGGAATGGAGATACAGAGGAAGCCAGTTATCAGAACTTCCGAAAAGAACTGATCGCGAAGCAAAGACATCAACTCACCTTCGCCCGAAGGCCATCACTCTCAGAGCCAGAGAGAGCGCGAGGATCCTGAGAGCATTCATCCGCACGCTTTACTGTGCGAATGAAAGCTTTTGAGGCACCAATATGGACAACGGACTCGCGACTCGGACCACGTTGGACGGGCACAGCGAAAGCGGTAGGAACAGCCCCGATGGCGAGCAGGAAGGCGAGTAGATAATGAGGGAGAATCATCGGGTTCGGTGACAAAACGGTGGTTGATGATGTTTGATTCGTTCGACAAGGCGACCAGCGGTTTGGCGTCAGTGAAGACCAGCTTCGTTGCAAAAAGTGAGAATGAGGAAAAGTGGAAAAGAGAGATTTAAGCAGGCTGACGTGGCAGCGATACTGAACCAGGCTAGTGCTGGTTTGACGACATCGTGATATTTTCGATTGTTTGCGAGGTTTATGCTGGTGTATGAAGGAGAAGAGGTTGAAAATTGAAAGGAATGTTCTAATTTCGGGTCCTGTCGCCGGTCTATGTTACAGTAGTGCGATATGCGATATGATTTGAAAGTCCATGAACATAGATGCAAATGTTGGTACGCTACAATCGCGACCGGAGAGATAGATAAGGACTGATCGTGTCCAGCGCTTCGCATATCTTGAGTGCAAGATGGTCCGGTTTCTCTTGCATGACCTAGTACCCAGAAGCCCTTCAGCCAGTATCTTTAAGGGGGGGGGATGGAACCCATAGGATTCAGGAAGCCTCACCAGATGACCTGCACCATGCACTCTCGAAACAGAAGCCACGATTCTCCCCTGGGTTGCATCAGCTAAAGAGTCCTGGAAATAATCGGGGCTATCGAGGAATAGAGAGAGGAGGGGATAGTAAGCTCAAAAGATCACGAAGAAGAAAGGGAACGCACTAACAACATATCGTTGCTCGTTCCCCATATGACATGCACCGGAAGGGTACGACACACCCGTGCAAGCTCCGTCGTCGCTTCAAAGTGTCCATCTACATCGGGATACGATATCGCTTCCTGCTTCCTATCGCACTTGAGCGTGACGGTTTTGGAATCTGGGAACTTCTGGTGAAGACCGTGCTCCTGCAAATGACCCATCCACGTCAGCTTTCATTCTCTCACAAAGTCAGAGAGAAACGCAAGAAGAAGAAAATTGTCTGGAATCCAGACTCCAGAGAAAATTCTATGGTCTGAACGTATGTAGGAAGAAAGAACAATGGGAGGGGCTAGGAAGGGAGAGAGAGAACGAGTCAGAGAGACCCACCACTAGAAGCCGTACGACGCGCGGATCCCAGGTCCGGAAGGGAAACCTGCGACTAAGCCATCTAAAAGCTTCTTCTCTATCCGGCCACACGTCCCGCCTGACTTCTGTGGCGCCGACCGACATTTCCATCGACCGTATCCGGTCATCGAAATGAGCTTCGAACATCTCTCGAGTAATCATCGTTGGCTCGATGAGTACGAGGGAGACATAAGGGAGATGGGACAAGGGAAAGTTTTTCGTCGTTAGCATCCTGAAGGGGAAATCGTTAGTCGAGGGTTATTGGATAGGATGTGGACAAACATGCATAGAGTTCTCGGGTAGGATGACGATATATATGCCGTATACAAAGAAGAAACGAGAACTCACATCGCTCCAGCACCAGCAGAGTGGCCGAGGGGAACGATCCGATGTCCAGCCATTCGAGAAGATTGCACGAAATCAACAATCGCCGGTGCCCATATGTATATCGCTGCGGAGAACAAAAAAAAATAACACCCCCCACGTCAGTTTGAACATTCCAAATCGCTTATAGCCCATTCAAATTCAAAGCTTACTCACAAACGCCTTCAGGTCGATCTCTCAAAATCTCCTCATTGACCAACGCCGCTTCGCCATGATTCTGCCAATCGAAAGACCAAGCTTCGCGTATCTGATGATGTCTCTCCTTCGAAGCCTGAGTCAGAAAGATCCGCTCGATGGTGGGTTCCCATTGCTCTTTATCTGTAGAGAGAGAGAGAGAGTACAGTGTTGCCGTCAGCGGTGTTGTTTTCATGTGCATGAGGTGATATCCGTTCGCCATCAGATCGAACGGGAAGAGAGAATACAAGAGAATACGAGTAAGAGATGGGGGCACATACGGGATCCCACACCGTGCGCGAAGAGCAAGGTAAGTCCGAATGTATTGTCTTCAGAGAAACCCATGGTGTAACGCTTGGCTGTCATCTTCAGACCAGATGAGCATGTTGAATCTATGCCAGTCATGTTTTGGGCAGCATCGACTGAAAATGCACATGACGAAGACGAAGACGAAGAGACGGTTTCTTCTTGGAAGTGTAGGATCCGTGGTGGGTCTAACACGAACGAGGATATCTGCAGTTTGGACGACGACGGCAACATGAGGGGAGTTGTCAGAATGACGTGGGTGGTGGGTGGTGGGGTCTGAGTCTGAAGTAAAGTAGGTTTCGAGGGCAGAACAAAGAGGGTCAGTGTACGGTAAGTTGCATGCGGCTTAAATTGGGTTCGAGGAGTATTTAACCTCAGATAATCCTGTGAAAACTTTAGAATCTTCCGTTAGCAATGAAGGAATTCGAACATCATACGTGTGAGAACGCACAGCAACCTTGTTTGATCCTTCGAATAGCCTCTTCTGCTTCTGGTCTTCTGGTGCTTCTCTTCTCTTTGAGTCATCAAGGACAATGAAAAAAAAAAACACAGATGTTCGTCTATAGGACCAGACTGTGACAACACAGAGCACTATCCTTGCAGTGGTCCAGTGGCCCAGTGAATCCGTTGGGGCCGGGAAGAGACTCCGCAGAGATCTCACCGAGTCACCCAAGAGACCGAGTTAGATGACATATACACGACCAATCAAGTGACGAGCCCCGATGTCCACCGAGGAGAAGGGGAGAAGGAAAGGAAACTGAAGGAATTGATGATACTTAACAGGGGTTCATGCCAGAAGAGGGACAATGCATTTTCTCCATACATCTTGCCCCCCCCCCACATGCCACATGGCAAACGGCCAGATCTTCAAGGAAAATTGGAATATCCCAAGACTCTGGCGTCAAGTCGATCAGATTGCAATAAATAAAAGACAGACTGGGATAGATAAACGATGAGCGCGAGCGCACCGGAAAATCTTACATTCAAACTTCTCCCCTCTGAGTATTCGAGTTGGCCGAGGTCCGACAGATATACGGGGAGCCAGCTATAGATCTCTATAAATCCGCGACAGGGGAAAAAAAATAAGCCAACGATACTGTATACATACATGTGGGAACGAAGATCGTCGCTCGAGTTCGAGTTCACGAAGGCGAATGGAAATTTCAGGGCATACACTCGTGGAACGTGTTCGCGTCGAGCTTGACCCGTTCTAGGCATACTTACTTGCGTATCCAATCCAGACCTCCTAGCTAGCAGCAGAGGCTAGCACTATCTCCTAGATCCTGATGTTGATGGGGCAAAGATGGCAAAGAGAGAATCCATATCGTGAAGCGATGTGCATTGTACTTACGAAGCAATCGACATAATTGGATATCACGATATGTACATTCGTGAGCATAAGCTACGGTGTTTTCAAGATGCTGGAGAACAGAAAGGGGGAAACTACGAAGCTTGAACAGGGCATCAACATACTTATCGACTGACAAAAGATGGGGGGGGGGGAACTCACCACATATGACCAAGCGATATCTTGATTCCTCATAAACTTCATGCTTTCTATCCCTCACGAATCATCGTATCATCGAGTCATCGAGTCACCGGACCTTGGCTTTCATCCGGCTAGAGAAATCGAGAAACCCATCGAGAGAAGAAAGGTTCAAGAAGACAGAGTTTTCAGCAGGTTCCAGCCGGGCGCAGCAGTTTACGAGGGAAGAGAAGCTCTGGCGAGGGACAGAGAATGACTTGCAAAGAGAATCCTAGAGAATCAAAAAGTCTGGGTCCACGGATCCACGGCTTCGATATCGACTCCATGGGCTCTCAAAGTGTCCATGGGTCCATGGGTTCATGAAGGTTCATGGTAGTGGAAGAGGAGGAAAGAGGGGGAAAGTTCAAAGAAGGGGAAAGATTGCTATTGTCGCGTCTGGTCACGTACACAGGCGTTTGCGACGTGACAGCGGCTCCACAGCGGCAAAGAGCGGCACAAGCTCCTCCGGACCTCCGTATTACGCCGTAGCCTGCCACCTGTGTGCAGCTGTGTGCTCAACTGTTCGGGATTTGACTGTTCGAATTTCGAAAGAACGTTGATCATGAACAGAACAAGCGAGGTTCAAAAGTTTACCGCTCTCAACTCATCATTGCCAAGTCACCATCAACATTCTTGACCAATGACAACTCCTCTGAATCAAGCTTTGGTGGGGGACCTAACCAAGTCCCTGGTAGTATATCGGTTTAGTACACGCGCCTGTCATACCCATTGACAATAGAAAAGTACCGCGCGCGAAAGCTGGGTTCGACTCCCAGCCAGGGAGTAAATTGAAAACTGGAAGCAATGTTTTTTGTGTTTTGCCAAAAACCAACTTGGTTCTGGCTACATGTTGCTTTCGTCACTCGTTCGTCCTTGAAGAGCACTGCACAGTGGCACACCAAGGACTCTGGAGGATGGATCGAGGGGGCTTCCCAGTGAAAATTCCATCATGCTGGAACAGCGCACATCAGTACAGAATCTACAGAATCAGACTGTAGAGTGTAGAGTGTAGACAGATCTGGATTCTGGACCAGTGTGTCGCAAAAAATCGTGTGGTATCGGATTGAGCATATCCTAGCATATCTGGATTCTGACATGATTTGTTGACAATAATGGAATGGGAATCATGGCTGTGTACAATCTCAGTGTTTGTTCTCTTCGTGCCACATCCATTTCGTGTACCTTTTAATTAAAAGTAAGTAATTTCTCTAGGGAATCTTCGGATGAACTTTGTGTTAGCTATACTGATAGCTGCGTTGATCAGATTTTTATCTAATCCCTGGTAGTATATCGGTTTAGTACACGCGCCTGTCATTAGTTCAATTTTGGAATATGCGCGCGAAAGCTGGGTTCGACTCCCAGCCAGGGAGTACATAGCTCCGAATGTGTCCTCGGTTTTTTTCCCCTTTTCCCTTTTTCCTTTTCCTTGCTGTGATCTACTACGTATCATTAATATTTGTAAAAGTACTTTTCAGAGCGGACTGAAGAAACTACACTTGGTAACTGAGAGGGCTGCTCATACAGTATACTCACTCTCGTACCATCTTTTCTGTAACAATAACTTGAACTGAAGTTCCGATCGCGACTGATCGATAAGATCTGATATGATAAGTTTCTTTCTCATCTATGGCTGGTTTATAGAAAGGAATCCTCGAGGTTAAGATATATTTTACTCGTGGGAAAAAAAGCAAGCCTCTCTTAATCGAGTACCACCATCGATGTCACTCTCCCTTGACCTCTCCTCTCCCGACCTCAAAGCCCCATACACCTCCGTGCTCACCCCGTCCTCACCCACCAACTGGGTGATGTACACCTACTCCTCGCCCACGACGCACAGCATCAAGCTCCAATCCTCCGGCAGCGGCGGCCTCACCGAGCTCAGCGACGAATTCCACACCGGCCGTGTCCAATGGGCGTTCACGCGCGTCGCCGACCCGGGGAGCGGGCTACCCAAGTACGTCCTGGTGTGCTGGTGCGGGGACGGGGTGCCGGAACGGCGGAAGGGGCTGTTCGCGAGCCACAGCGCGGGGATGGGGGAGTTTCTGAAGGGGGCGCATGTGGTGGTGCAGGCGAGGAATGAGGGTGATGTGACGCCGGAGGGGATTATGAGGAGGGTGGAGGCGGCTTCGGGGGCGAAGTATTCTTTTCAGCAACAGACGGTGACGGTGACGCCGAGGGCGAGAGAGAGTGTGCCGAAGATGGCACCGAATGTGGGATCGGGATATGAACGGGTGGATATGGCTGCGGTGAGAGAGTCACAGCCGTCGACGGCGTTGCCGAAGCCTGGTGTGTTCAGTGGGCGGACGACGGGAGCTCAAGCACCAACGACAACACCTAGAACAGGTGGATTTGGCTCATTCGTTCCCACCAAATCACTCGCCGCTCCCTCTTCCCCTCCGTCAGCACCAGCGTCATCCACAACGCCCACAAAACCGACAGCGCAAGACGAGCTCATCGCACCCGTAGGATCAGCGTACACCCCCGTGTCGTTGCCTAAACCGGGGAGACTGAAGAATCCGTTTGAGAAGGTCCAACAACAGCAACAACAACAAGCGAGCCCGGTTAGAGCAGGGGGAACGGGGAAGCTGACGTGGTCCGAGCGTCAGGCGATGGCGAAGAAACAGGTCGAGTCTCCTGCGCCTCCGTTACCCGTATCCTCAAACCCAAGCCCTCGTCCAACGCCTCCTGCTCCATCACCCCCGTCCCCGGTGCGTTCCCCAGCAAGCGCACCGAATCTTCCTCGTTCGTTCGGTGCGATGAAGCTCGGTGGCGGTGCTGCAGTTGGTATTAGCAGACCGCCTGTGTTGGCCAAAGAGATTGATGAGGACGAGGAATCGTGGGATGCGCCTCCACCACCACCCCCTGTTCCTGCTGCTCCCCCGTTACCTGTGTCTACTCGTCCCGTACAACCTGTGTCTCCTGCAGCAGCTTCTCCCCCTCCCCCGCCTCCTCCTCCTCCTCCACCACCACCGCCACCGCCTCCCCCACCGGTGTTGGCTAGTCCTGTGGTTCCTGCTGAACCAGAACCAGAGCAAGAGCACGCAGAAGAGCAGGAGGACCCACAAGAACAAGGACAAGGACAAGGACCAGTCCAAGGCGAAGGTGTCTGTGCGGTTGTTTTGTACGACTACGAGGTTCGTCCGCTTTTCCTCATTATATCATCAAAATATTCATCCTCGTCACACACAGGCAACCGAATCCAACGAGCTCTCCCTGCTCGAAGGCCAGCTCGTGCAGAACATCGAGGAGCTAGATGAGGGGTGGTGGTCTGGGTTTATCGTTGACAACGTCGACAACGGGGATGGTGATGGAGGGGAAGGAGGAGGAGAGAGGAGGGAGGGGATGTTTCCGGCGAATTATGTCGAGGTTGTCGAGAGTGTGCCGCTGTCTGCTGTTGGTGCTGCAGCTCCTCCTCCACCTCCGCCTCCTCCTGCTCCAGCAGCCCCAACCGCCCCAGCAGCCCAAACCGCCCCAGCAGCCCCAACCGCACCTGAACAACACCCAGAACCCTCAGAAGACCCCTCATCAGACCCCTCCTCCCTAGGCCCCAAAGCGATCGCTTTATACGCGTACGAAGCCGCCGAGGACAACGAGATCTCGTTCGAGGAGGGAGATTGGATCGTGCGTATCGAGGCCGTCAGTGAGGATTGGTGGAGTGGGAGCGTGTATCGCGGGGGAGAAGGAGGGGAAGAAAAGGTGGGGTTGTTCCCTGCGAATTATGTTGAGATGCAGGAGTAACTGAGTGAGGGATGTAGATGCAGGAGGAGGAGAAGTTGTTACCTTTTTGACGGACGAAAGATTCGAGTCACCTTTCTGTTCTTTTCCTTTTTCTTTTCTCCTTTCTCTCTCTCTTTCTCTTTTTCTTCTTCTTCTTCTTCGCCTCACGACCGAGTTTTAGGACTTGGACTCGTTATGTTTCTTTTTCTTGTCAAGGACGGGCGGTTGTTGGAACTCTGACTATACACTTTCAAAAATGAATTCAATCTCTTCATGTACATTCCGTGACGGTGCAGGATATACAGACGAGAGAGATGACATATATAATATATATCCTCAAGCCCACATATCTCAACAATCTGTCAACTCACTAATCCTCCCTCAACACCTGGCCCTCCGATCTCTCCAATAAACTAGGACTCCTCCAATCCACAGTCATAGTATGTCGATCTATACTCCCCAAACGAGAATCATGTTGAGATACAGGTAACAGGAGTGAGCGCGAAGTAAACATAAAAATAAATCAATACACTGTGGGTAGTACAAGTCGTCATATTCTCCGACTCTTTAGAGGAGGGCTTTGTGGTGTTCAAATGTCAAAAATCGACCAAATTTGACGCAATAGGCATATCTATATTGATTACAAAGAATCTCGTAATAACCTTTGACATGATGATACGATGTTCATTTTCGTTGTCTTTTACTGTCACGAATTGAAACACTAGTGCCCACTGCCATTTCTCCCCCAGACCAACGCTTCTCTTCATACACAAACAACGTTCACGACATCAACAAACTGGCTCTGAATTACTTGAACACTCATGCGACACCTTACTTCCTCAAGCAGTGCTCTGACGTTATCGAAGTTAACATTGGTCCTTGTCGGTAGGTTTTTTCATAGCTTGAATCACACTATCATTGAGCTCATAAACGTTAGCTATGGATTCTTCTTCTCACCGCTCCTTCTTGAGAAGGTACCGGGCTTTACAGTGTCATCCTGGAGCTGGCAATAAAGTCGTTTGACGGAAATACCGGTCTGTTGATGAACTTGTTGTGCATTGTTGCGTTCGCCTTCTAACTCCAACCGTGCTCCTGCCTCATCCGGTCTCTTTCAGATTCACATTTGTCTCTGCTGCAGACAGATTGCCTGCCCCTTCATCATCATCTCATCCTCTACCCGACTCCAGAACCTCCAATCGAGCATCCATAAGAGCAGGTGGTGGGCTAATTACTTCTTCTCGTGCTCACGCTGCCGAACGTAGTGTTGAACGCGAACGACTGGCCCAACTTCGTGCATCAGGCCAGACTGGAGCTCGTTTCAGAGTCCGCGGGCGTCCACCGTTAGCGGAAGATATGCATTTCGTTGGCCTTTTTAGACACGATTCTCCCGATTTCTTTGATCCTTTCGAAACGATCGGTTACAATGGTCTCGTGCGCTACGGTCCTGGATTTGTTCATCCGCTTGCTACACGAAAAACTGGTCGAAGCAATCTTGGGTTTCCACTCTAGTGCGTAATTCTTCGCCCATGCTGCCGTCTTAATTATATTTAAACATTATTTTGCCAGCATGTGTGATGAATGTTATTACTCACCGTACAGCCTACTGCCTGTTTGCAAAACCAACTCTCCTCGATAAAAATTCATTCACCTTCAACAACTCGCTGACCGACGTCGACTCACTCCCTATCCGTCACAAATGGATGGCCCGCGGCTTCAATGTCGTACATTGCCCTTCAGCAGACGATCTGGTCTGCTTCGATTCTGGTATAACCATCCGTCACTACAGATGGGTCGGCGATAGTGCGTGTCTGAAGATGGACTTGGAACATCATGATGATTTCGACGAAAGCGACGAAAGCGACCCAATCGAAAGTAATTCCTGGGGCATTCGTTATCAAACCACCCATACGACTATCAAATCGACTTTCTTCCAGCCTGATTCTGAACAGCCAGGCATTGTCGTCTCCCGTGAAGAACGAAGGACTCTGACTCGCAAGTACGAAATGCTCAAATCTAGCGTTGACCAACAATTGAAATTGTGAGTATCGTCCTCATAATATTTTCACCGCACACCGGTACTAATTATCCTCAGTGTCGAGTACGCGATGTTCAGCTGCCAGTCGTCTCAACCGTCTCGATCAATCCGTTGGGAGAGAAATCCCGTGGTTGGAAGTATCATACGCAACATAATGCGTTCTGTGAACTATCAGCCGCCGTATCTGTCCAGTTCGCCTTTGCAGGCAGCGGCGTTGTTGCAAGATTTATATGATTTTTTGAATAGAATCCACCTCGATCACAAGAACATCGCGTTGGTGTGTACATCCTCAACAATATATGGCATATAGGCTGCTAACTCATTCACCAGAAATGCGCGGAGATACATGAAGATACTGCGACTCATCGTTTGGTCGTTGTAACGCTTTGGATCGATCCCGCGCCGAGACCAATCAATATCTGTGTTTACAACAAGTTCCTGCTTTCATTTTCTTCTCGCGGTCTAAATATCCAGTTTGTATGGCCTATAGGTAACCGTGTAAAAAGTGTAAAATAGGTTTCTGTAACTGACTCTACTGTAACATATCTACGTACTTAGCTTTGAATCAACTATGTATCCTCTTTTCTCTCTCTCTCTCTCGTGTGACTAAAAAGAGTC